AATTATGGCACATGGGCATTTGTTATGAAATACTTGATGCACACTTGCAAGCTTAACATCCATGTAGATGGGACATAAGAATGTCCTACAAATATTGATGAAAAATTAAAATATGAATCAAGTGAAGCACAAGCACAAGCATTAATTGCATTTAATATCAGGCCTTTTCAATTAACACATATACACAAATGCAATATTGCAAAGAAAATGTAGGACGTATTGGCTGAGATCCATAAGCCTTTAGAAGTTATTACTAAAATATTTTTAATGAAAAAATTATATAATCTTTGTTATACAAATGGAGAATCTATGGAGATTTTTGTTGGAAAGATTTTTGATCTTAAGGATCAATATATTAAAGCCGATGGTAAAATAGGCAAATAGAGCATGGCATTTTTTATACTTACTGTATTACCAAAATCTTGGAATTCAATTCTTCAATCGATTATATCAAGAAAATATATATATATATATATATATATAGAAGAAGTATTGCGATCTATTTTCCTTTAGGAAGAGATGTGAAGGAAGGAAAAGAGTAGTTCTCCATTTTTTGCTTTAGTAGTGTATGCAAGAAGAAAGCAAGTCTTAAAAAAGTACCGTCCACAATAAAAACAGAAGCCTAAGATTAATAAGCCTAAAAGCACTTGTAGGGCTTAGTGGTAAGATACCACATGAAGTTTTTTATGGTAAAAAAACTTCTCTTCAAATGGTCATTTCTTTGGTTTTCCCGCTTAGTATCACATACTAAAAAAAAATATCAAAAGCTTAGTGCAAAGGTAAAAAAGAATATTTTTTTTAATATTCAAAAGTGGCATAAGGATGTGAAATTATTCTATCTAAAGAAAAGAAGGTGATTCTTAATTGAGATGTGATTTTTCTTGATAACAAGAATGAATTACTTAGTGAGCAATTAATTTGTTAACAAAAAATTGAAAAAAATATGGATCATAGAAATAATCTTGATATATTAGATTTTTGACATCTAAATGAATTAAAAATATTTCAACCTCAAGCCTCAAGATTACATGTATATGATGGATTGCATAGAGAAATAGTTGAAGAAGAAGCAAATCTTATACCAACAGAAGTAGTGGAATTCTATCAAATAGAAGTAAAGGCAACCACTCAAGTTCTACCACCAAGACATTGTTATATAGGTGGCATTGACCTTACAAATATTATAAGCAATAGTAGGATGCAATTCACGCCTTAGAAAAAAGACAACAATTTTATTTGAAGAAATTATGATCTGCCGATTGAAATAGTAGAAATGGTTTATATTAATGAATATGTAGAATTAGAGACTATTGAGCAAGTTATGAATTCACTTTTTTACAAAGAATGGAGTCATGTCATCAAGGAAGAACTCAATTCTTTGAAAGATTATAGTATATAGAATTTTCATTCTTACTCAACAGTAGGAAGGGTATAGATTTAAAATGGGTTTTTAAGAAAAAAAAATTGGTAATAATGGCTCCTTTGAACATTTTAAAGCACAATTAGTTACAAAAGATTTTACACAAGTGAAGGATCTTGATTACCAAAAATCTTTTGCTCTAATTGCTTGACTTGCAATAATTCACATATTTGTTGCAATTGTTGCTATATTTAATTGGAACATATTACAACTTGATGTTGTCTCAGCTTATTTAGATAACAAGCTTAAAGAACAAAGTATTTATATAAAAATTCTAAAAATTTTAGAAGTTCTATCAAAACACAAAGGCAAGGTGTTGCAATTGCTATAGAATTTATATGATTTTAAGCAATCTAGACATAGATGGAACAAGAGTTTGGATAAATCTTTATTGAATCTTAACTAGAAGTGTTCAGAATCATATCCTTATTTGTACACAATGTACATTGGGAAACTAGTTCTTGTACTAATTATCTATGTTGATGACATATTTATTGGTGGCAAGAACTTTGAGATCCTTGTGAAATACAAAGATGAATTGCAGAAGTACTATAAGATGAAAGACCTTGATAAACTTAGCGATTTTCTTTGCATTTATTTCTTCTAATATAAAAAAAAATGATACTATTAGTTTGAGCCAAAATAAGTACATTTATTGAAAGTTGGAGGAATTTGGGATGAAAGATGCAAAGGCAATTGCTACACCAATGGTACCAAGTCATGTTACTAAGAACAAAAATGACAATCTTTTGGATGCAAAAGGTGTAAATTTTTATCATAAAGCTTTAAGTTCATTATTGTACCTTGCAAATGGTATAAGGTATAACATTGTATTTGTCTGTCAACTTTGTTCAATATATTGCACATCCATATGTTTCACATTGGCAACAAATCAAATAAATATTTTGTTATTTGCAAAGAAAAAAATATTTGGTATTGCTTTATAGATAAAAGAAAGCAAATTTATAACTTTTAGGCTATAGTGATGCAGATGGAGCAAGTTGTGTGGAAATGCGCCATTTAGTAGGAAGTTATGCATTATATTAGGTAGGGCAATTATCACTTGGTTAAACAAGCAATAATCTTTAATATCTAATTGTCAACAAAAGTAGAGTATGTAGCTTTGGTTGCTACAATAAGGGAGACTTTGTAGCTTTGTAAAGTACTTAAGAATTATGATATTCCTAAGCCAAAAAAGATTTTCATTTATGAGAATAACCAAAATGTCATTGCTTTTGCCAAGAATCCAGCACACCATGGCCATACAAACCATTGGGATATAGAACATCATTATATTAGGCAATGTGTGGAGAAAGGACAAATTGATTTGGAGTTTTGTCCCATGGAACAGATGGCGGCAAACATCTTCATAAAACCTCTCTCTAGACATAAGTTTTTAACTTTTAGAGATATATTAGATCTTCTTTCAATAGAGAATTAAGCCCCACTTTTAGAGGAAGAGTGTCGAATGTTCCATATTACATGTATCAAAAGTTGTGACTTATCCAACATTTAACTAAGACATTGAAAGTGTCCTTCCCTTGGCTTCTTGCACTTTTTGTTAGCAACGAATGATGTCCATCCTGCTTTCATGTTCTCATACAGTTTTAGTAACAATGCCACTAACAGAACTTGAAGAATACTCACCTCGTGGGATCGAAGGTCCCAGTGACAGTATTCACCAGCTGATTGATGCTCACAGATTGGAATAATGTCTTCCACAAATGCTTCTTATTTAAAAAAAAAAAAAAAAAAAAAAAAAAAAAAACAACTCCAACATCACTGAAAACGAGCATGTAACTGCAGGCCAGCAAAGTCCAAAACGGTTGTGGATTCTGCATCATTTGGGGACTAGTTTGTTGGTCCTCTGCCTATTTTTGCAAAAGCACTGGTCATCAGCTACGGCTCAAGAATCTGAGAAGCCCGTCTGATTCATGAATGTGGATGTGATGGCATCGTGAGCTAGAATGCACAGTAAAAACGTGACAATACAGGCATTGAGCAGGGCATGCGACCATCACACACACACACACTGCGCGCCCCGGTGATTGCAGCGACCAGGTTTGGATTGTGATGAAGCGAAACACTGGGCACAAAGCCATGGCCAGATCTCATCACGATGTGTGCACTGCGGATTTTGGACGAGATTTTGAGAATTGCAGCACATGAACTAAGGTGTCGACTGGTGTGGAAAAGCACACTCCGCTGCACTGCGGTCACCCCTGGTCTGTATGTCTTATATGGTGGATCAATGTTTTCTGGGAGGAGGAGTTAGCAGTGGAACGCATCGATCCATCTCAATGCGTCACAGTCGATGCAGTTTCTCGAATATTTGTCGAATCGTGACGGCGACCCATTTCACCCCACTGTCGCACATGATCCACTTGCTGCGTTGACACCGGCGCTTGACGTCGTCAATTCAGTTTAGGGGTGAGATATCTATCCGTGTTGGCTTGTGCATGAGTTTCTGTAGTTTTCATGTGAAGGAACTTGTTTTGCTGCCGTCGGAAACATTCAACGATAAGGAAAACTTCAAGGTTGTATAAGTTTTCCACGCAACCACTGTTTGGACGAGAGGCCATGAAAACAAAAACAGAAACACGGAGTCTATCAACCTCTACAGAGACCCAATTCATGTAGACGCAATCAGATTCTCCCCACAAACTCAAGTTTCGACACGGATCTGCTCCTGAAAGTGAACACACAACAAAGAGTAGCATCATCACAAACTGGTGCTCGTGCGAGGCGCCACAGCGTATAGGAATCGATAGACCACTAGGAGTTATACACACGTTCAAGCTGCCGATCAAGATTCGAGGTCTGCATAGATCGAAGAATGAAGGTTTTGCAGGTCGCAGTCAAAGTTATTGTTCAGTGGGGTTCGATGAATCGTCGAATCTAGACCGATCGACTTGTAAGTAATTCTCGAGCTGCTTGATTGATTTTGTCCGTGCGACTATCCGATCGACGTAAGAGTCTCGGAGGATGTTGGTGATTCCTCGATCCGAGATTGGTCTGGATCGAAATTTTGCGTCAAGATCATGCAAGACGAAAGGCTCGAACAGATGTTAGCCAAAAGTACAAACACAAATAATTCACGGCTGTGTGGATCCAAGTCTTTGTTTTCCATTCAGTCTTAAATAGAAAGCATTTATGCACTTACAGCTTACTACTAAACAAACATTTAAAACCATCGTATGTACGAGCTTTAGACTTTCGAGAGGACACAAAATAATAGAGAGGCTAGGAAAAGATTTAGTGAATGAAAATACGTACATGTTCATGCTCATCGGCGTCGTGCTATGGATCATGCTTCGTCTCAGACCATGCATTTGCCCCGAACAGATCCTGGGACGGCGTGAAAGGATGAGCCAGTGATGGATGGAATAGTGGGCAAGCAGTAGGACTAAGCAGTAGGACTTCCCCCTTCCTCAGTCCGTCCCCTCCCCCACCCTGCCCCCGTCATTTCGATCTCACTGGCAGGGAGATCTTTTGGCAAGATTTGCCGTTTTCCTGGTACAGATCATCACAGGCTCACGGATGGATTTGTACAGTGGGGGGGAGGGGGGGGGGGGGTGGAAGCACTGCGCCAGTAGGTGGGAGAAGGGGAAGCAAGCCTTGGAATAAGGGTGTAGTAATTTGGCCGGAATAGCGTAAGCTATGGTGGGTCGCAGGCCATTGCTTGCTGTGACATAACCCGTGCAAAGACTGTCATGTAGTGGGATTGGCAGCAGAGCCATCAGGTAGTTCTCACGCGTGAATTGGAGCCGTGGCATCAAACCTCCCTCTCTCCTCATCTCCCTCTCTCTCGCTATCTCGCTCGGTGCGTGAGTGTTTCTGGGTGCCCATCTCATTTCTTCATAAAGTGGATCCTCCCAAGCCTCGTTTACTGTAGTGTTCACTTGGTTTTTTTTATAACTCTTGCTCTCCACTGGTGGGTGCGTAGTTGCCGCTGAGGTATAGTGGCTATTCCCAAATTTTTATCAGAGCACAAGGCCAAGGATGATCTTTGATATTATGGCTGGGTGTTCGCGGTGGCAAGTCTTTAGTGGATCGTTCGTTTGTTTCATGCATGTTTGGGGTGGTTTTTAGTCCTGAGTTGTTGGGATTTTGTGTTTGGAATAGTATTGTGCTGGGAGGTGTTTTGGAGGAAAAGAGAAGAGTGTGTCTGAGGAAGATGTTTTAATGATGGGGGGTTGTTTTTTTGGGTTGCCCTGAGATACTGCAGGAAGTCGAGAGATCATGGCGGAGCACTTGACTGAAGAACAGATTGCCGAGTTTAAGGAGGCGTTTAGCTTGTTTGACAAGGATGGCGACGGTAATGTGTCTGGAACATTAACGCCCCCCCGTTTTTCACCTTTCTGCTCTTGTTTTCAAACGTGCTCTTTCACATCGCAGAATTTTGCCCTGTCTCTGTGTGAGGAGCGTCATTGTAGTAAGTTTTTATCTGATTTGTGGGAACGATTCAATAACAGGTAGCATCACTACCAAGGAGCTGGGAACAGTGATGCGGTCGTTGGGTCAGAATCCCACCGAAGCTGAGCTACAGGACATGATCAACGAAGTTGATGCCGATGGCAATGGTACCATCGATTTCCCCGAGTTTTTGAACCTCATGGCCCGCAAAATGAAGGTACGTTCACATCAAAGTTGAAAGAGGATGTCTCCTGTCTACTCCCCAAGTGCACGTTCCTCCACGTGATCCATTATGAATCAATTGTTCATCACTTCAGCGCGTTTTGTTTTTGGGGAGGGTTCATATTTTTGACATTCTGGGCATATTTGGGAGAATTAGTCTTTGCAGACAGGTGGTGGACTGATACTTGAGAATGACTCTAACATATGTTTTTGGGAACAGGACACAGATTCCGAGGAGGAGTTGAAGGAGGCGTTTAAAGTGTTCGACAAGGACCAGAATGGCTTCATCTCCGCCGCAGAGGTTACTCTCCCAGTCATTGAGCCTACTACCCTATTTTGGTTATCATTTCTAGGCTCTTGGATTGCCCTATGTGAAATTGTGCAGTCACCTGTATAATTGTATGACCATCCCAATAAAATGCCTCAGATCGCATCATGTGAGAAAAGATATGCATAGACGTGTTGCACGTTTTATGAGCAGTAATTTGTCCCTGATACTGGATCGTATGCAGCATTGTTTTAAGCATCCATTTAATAGTAGAATCGTGTGAATACAGCTCCGGCACGTGATGACCAACCTGGGCGAGAAACTGACAGACGAAGAGGTTGATGAGATGATCCGCGAGGCTGATGTAGATGGTGATGGCCAGGTCAACTACGAGGAGTTTGTGAGGATGATGATGGCAAAATAGAGTACAGATAGTTGTCTATTATTTTCTCTTTTCCTTCTTTCTTCCCTCCTGCATCCCTTTACTCCTGACACTGAAGAAGTGAGGTTTTTCGGGGAAGCAAACTGCTGAACGGCAAGTACATCCTCTCCTCTAATTTGGACATGTCGGATTCGTCATTTGGCTGATGGTGCGGTGTAACCCAGCCCAATACAGCCATGCATCACTTGTACTGTTTCGTTTTTTTTCTTCCTGAATACTCTCGTTTCGGCATCTGCCTTTTGGCCTAGATCAAACCAGCAGGATTCCCTACCTAGTGGAGGCTAGCAGTTGGGCTGTAGCGGTGCCTTTGGCTAGTATGTTGCTTTACTATTTTATACATAATCACAGACCGGATTCAATTCCTTATCATGCTAACTTCCTTGGTGTTGGTGGATTGCTTCACATGTTGTTTCATTTCAACTATTTCTTGCGTTAGTTTCTGGCAATTTAGTTTCCAAATAACTTGATGGGACATCTTGAGATCTTTAGAAGATGTCCTTGCACCAAATAATATCGCAGGGCTGGATCTCATAATTCAGTTTTAGATCTCAAGAATAATCTTTTGTTCTCTGTTAATGTATTTCTACATAAATTCAAGGAATCTATGTCCATGCTACTCTCACTTTGCATTAAAGAGGATGGACTTAACATACAGATATATAATTACAGAAAATGTTGTGAATAAGATGAGGACCTGATATGCATATTACCATATTTTGTTCTTTAAAGAGGTAAATTCTTTGAAGTTGTTTCGAATGTACTTTGAAAGCAACTGGCTCTGAAGCTACACATTAGTCACTTTTGAATGATGAATTTCAAAATATTCCAAATATCTCAAAAGGTGTCAATCCAATAGAAAGAAATTGGAATAAGTCTATCTTGTAGAAAAATCTATTTAGATTCATTCTACTTTTCTAATGTTGCTTATTATATTCTTTATATATAGACAAAATACATTTGTGTTACAAAAAAAGTAAAAGCAAGTATACATTAGTAATAGCATCAATGACAAAAGTCTCTACAAATCAATAGGTATACAATGTATAAATTGTGCATCCAAGTGTACATCTTTAATTGTTTGATTATTGTCTCCCTTTATTCTTTTCTTTGTTCATTAAATTGAAAGGCTGTTAAAGTTCTTTCAAATTAATTGCATTACATGAATTGAGCGTTAATTGTACACCAGTTAACTGTTAAAAAGAAACTAAAACCAAAAAAATTAAGGTTCTTTAAAAATTTCTTATGGATCACTATTATTCAGTATAATTTGCTAAGTTAAGACAATAAATTTTTTTAAAAACTATCTGTATGTGGCATCTCAATCACTTTATTGTACAATTTATTATTTTTTTTTAATAATAGAATCATTCTAGTAAACTCCTCAGACATTTTACAAAAAAAATAAAAATTGGTTTGTTTTATATTTATGATAAAATCATTTAAATCATTCATGAATTCTAAAAAAGTTTTTAAAAAACTAATATATAAAGATATATTTTAAAACGTTCTACTAAATCAAAAAATATTGCTTGTAGTGTGCATAATATTGTAGAAATTAATTACATAATTTTAATTAGATACAAGTTTTTAAAATGATATAACAAAATATAATACCTAATTTGCTTGTATCCATACTTTTGTCTTATAAGTTGTTATTCCATTTTTTATAAATTGTATAGTTGGTGCATTTAAATCTCAAATAATTTTAAGGTGAACTTATCTCAAGCAAATATTAGATATTTGTGTGATTTTGTAAAATAAAAATTAATTTTTAAAAAGTAAAAAATAGCAATTTAATACTACATAATCTATACATAAGTTACAAAATTTTGAAAACTTTCATGTAAAAATTCAACTAAAGCATAAAATTTAGAGAGACATTGGATTACCAATTCACATTAAAATTATTTAGACATTGGAATTGGTGAACCAAGCCATAATAAAACCCTAAAGCCAAATATTGCAAGAATAATTTATATGTTGGTAATTTATTAATGCTTCTAGTAATATGAATTTGTAATGCTACACTATCACTACTAAGATACAATAAAAATATTTTAAATAAAAACCAAAGTTCTCATTTTAGCCAAGTCTAGTGTCATAATTGCTAACAGCTAATGTAAACAAATAAATAAATAAATAAATCTTATTTCATCCCATTCTTTTCTATGCATTTGCTTCAATAATTTTGAGAGTGATTTACTTTGTTTCTTATTTTCGAAGTGTTGATAATTCAGTGTCACTAACGCCCAATGAATCAGAAAGTGGTAATCTTTTAGGGACTTTTGCAGGACAGAAAGTATGGAAGTGTTTTCCAAGCATCTTGCCATGAAGAAAAGCACACAGAAAAAGGCAACACTTCTCTTTAGGGATGCTATTAAATTTGCATTAGCTTTGTTTTTTTGTCCTACTTGTTGCTTTGCCAGCTCATCAAAAGATGAGTCAGGCTTAAAGCGGTTTACTAGTTGTAGGATGTGGCGCGGGTTGTAGGTGAATTTTGTGGAATTTTCCTAATCAATACTTATCACGAAAATGTCTTTGAGCTACATTTCTCTGTAATTAATTCCACATTGCTTGCGTATGTGGTAATTAAATGCATCAGGTAATGGAGTTTATTCCTAAGGGTAGAATTTGGCTGAGATGAATCTATCTCTACGTATATTGATGTTACTGCATAGCCATATTACTTGTCATAAGTGTTGTTGGCATTTACTATGTGCAAACCGTGAATACTGAACTGAAAGAGAGAGTTGTGTCATTCTCGGAAAGTCAACGGAATTCTTTGTCAGGGAACAGTCTTAGCACTAAGAGAAGATTAAGTCTGAAATTCGACCTAGAAAGGGTTCTCTACAAACACTTGAACGAGCTGACTGCATATCACCAGCATTATCTGAAGGTTTGAGGGAGAAATGACTCGTCTAGCACACTTCGTAATTTCTTCGGGTGGGGACTCAATGCGAATGTTTCGAAGAAAAGCATTAATATGCACGAAGCATCCAATTCGGGCAGACTGAGGAAAAATGTATGTGTCAACACCTTCAACAGAGTTGGAAAGCTTAACAGTATACGAGTTCATTAACTAGGCATATCAAATGTTGTATTTTCAACTTTTAATTTGTAATAGTTTCAAATATAAATTCAGCATGGGAAATACCCCAAGTTTAAACATCGCATGAACATTCGAAGTCAGCCAAACCACGTTCAGGATCCCCTAAATATCTGCAAGAAGAATACTCTCTGGCGATCCAAGATCCTAGCACAGCCATCGCGAGCTCAAAAGTTGAGATAATGAACAGCCAATATCATTCAAATTATTCAATGCACCCAGTTCATTAACTAGACACATTAAAGGTACAAAATTGACTTGAAACCTCAAACTCCCGTAAAAGGGGTCCATTAAATAGAACTGGCAACAAAGTATGCAGGACCTCCCAGTTACTCTTCGACGATGGTGCCCTTGTCACTCACGTAGATACCATCCAAAAACTTTCGGATATCTTTCTTCTTAACGTGGCATTTCTGTACCCACCATAAAATACCCGGCTTCCCCATGTTAGTATCACGCACCCTACCAGTAACTAGGTAAAAACCATCATTAAATCACCAAAAACCACACGAAAAAAATCAAATAATGTCCCTGTTCAAGCTCCAATTCAACCATGTAACAGCATAGGAAATCGCGCCGTACCTGATTGATCAAAGCACACGACCGAGAGACAAGCTCGATGTCGTTACCTTCAAGCACAAGCTCGTCCTTCACCTTCTCGGAACGGGTGATGCTCACACCATTCAACATCTCAACCCTACGAACCTGCACTCGACAGCCAACGACCACTGCATTCAAAACCCTAACCCTCGAACTGGATGTGACAAAGCACTGCCAACACCCCCACCATTCACCACTGATGACTCGCATTCTACCACACCAAGGGGCTTAAAACAGCAAGACCACATAGCACCTACACAGCAACACAGTGAGGTAGGTTCCGCCCAAAACCCTAAAATAAACCTGCAGAAGGAGGCAAAAACCCTAAAGAGCGCAACATTCGAAACGCAGTGAGGTACCTTCTTCTCCCCCAAAAAGTTTCTGATCTCGATGCTGTCCTTGTCCCCGCCGAGGCTGGCGTTGATGGGAAAGTGAGCGTACACAAACCTCATCTTGTAGCGGTAACCCTTGGTGACACCCGTGATGAGGTTGTTCACGTGGCTCATGGCAGTGCGGATGGCGGCCATGGTCTTGCGGTTACCGAACCACGCATCGACCTTCAACTTGCGGCCGCCGTCCTGAAGTTGGAAGTCGAGATTCAAGTGCTTGAAGTTGCGGGTGAGCACGCCGCGGGGGCCCGTAACGCGCACCTGCTTGGCCTTGATTTCGACCTTGATCCCCTCGGGGAGATCCATGGTCTCGGATGCCAAGATGGTCTTCATGGCTGTGGCTGCACTGCTACTGCTGCGGCTGCCGCGGCGTAGATGCGAGGGGCAAGAGCTCCACAGAGAGAACACAGGAGAAAGGAGGAATTCGGCGCAGGCCCTTCGCTTCAAGCCCGCTCTCCGAAGAGCCCCCTCGGGTCATGGATGAATGACCCACGAACGTCGTTCGTCGTTGGAACCCAGTTTCTCATCCTTTTACTGATGAATAGAAGGCATGATCGAATTGTGTAATTGTTGGGCCTGGAAGTAATAATATTAATAATTATAATAGTAGCTTTACCGTGTTTTGCCCTAAAAAATGTAAGGAAATAAATTTGTGTATTACGTCTACCTCTCGTTCCAATGAACAACAAGAGAGCATAATGCCTTCTTGAATTGGTTCTTGTTTACTAATGTAGTTAAAAAAATTATTTTTGTGATTCAAATTATTTCTTTACATACATACAGATATATATATATATATATATATATACTAGAATTGGTGGCGGTGACATTGAAGATAATTTTTTTCCTCATGTGGTTGATCCTCAAGATTGCTTCAACTTACATGTTGTACCCAAAAAAATCTAAATTCAAAATTTTAAAAAAGCACAGGAGTATAAAATAAAAATATAGGAAATTAAGATTTAAAATATTATCAAATTTCCAATAATTAGGGCATGTCAATATTTTGTATGATTATCAAACTTATATGTTTAAAAGATTTACAAGTTATTTTAATTTTTCAGATGTTTCCTATTATCAAAAAAAAAAAACAAAAAAACAAAAAAACAAAAACAAAAACATCCTTATTTGATAAGATTGAAATACTTTGCATTGGGAATCTAAAGAAATCAGAAATTATAAATTTTAAAAAATATCACCAGAAGTGAACAGACAGCATTGTTAATGCAAACACAACAACTAACCAAATATTTGGTTTGCTAAATATCAAATTTAAAGTCCAGATTGCAATCATGTATATATATATATATATATATATACATAAATTGTCTCTAAAAATATAGATGGCATAAGTCACTTAGGAAATAGTTTATCTAATGATATGCTTTTTACGAAAAATTCATTATCACAAGCATGTCATTTTTAAAGAACTGAAAATTGGCTCTAAAAAGGTTTTTATAAAAGCATTCTAATTTCCTAATTGTAAATAAAGGACACTAAAGTGATTGTTGCTTGAACAATTTATACATTTAAAACAAACTAAGACATCAAAAATTTATATCTTTAATTTAAGAATATAAGCAAACAACAAACAAATGTCAAAAATAATTTAAGTTATATAAGTTAAAAGCTTTATAAAATATACATATAGTGGTACCTCACATATTTAATAATCTGGGTAGATGAAAATTTTATGTATTTTTTGAGGTATTATTATTTATGTGGGATGATGTAATTTTACAATTTGGCATTGGTTTCGTCTTGCCAATTTGTCCTGTTCTTGCCTCCCTCATTGCTTTTGTCATAACTTAGAGAATTATAAAAGCAATGAAGGTTAAAAAATATGAGAGAGAATGTGACATGGTTTGGTTCTATAGTAGAGCCAAACCATGATGGGCCAAAAGAAGGACACAAATGTGGACATAACAAATATCAATTTAAGTCAAAAAGAGAGGTTCTAATCAAAGAAACATAAGATAAGAATTCAAAGCATGTTATTTTTTTGGTTTCACATGTATGTGTGTGCAAATTGAGATAAAATTGATACAAATGCATATTGGATGAGACGTGCATGAGATGAAATATCTCTAGAGACAATATCAAATTGTTGACATAAGTAAGTAATATGAGAGTGGCAAATTGGATAACAATATGGAAATTGTGGAACATAATATTAAACTAACAATAAGATGATTGAACATCAAGAAGCTATGGATAGAATTTTTTCTAAACCCCCATACAAAAACAGTATAATATGCCAAACTTTTGACAATCTCCATACTTTTGTTGATGCCAATATGGCCAAAATTGACAATGATTTGCAAAATTATATGGCCAAATAGTTATATATGACTATTTTAACAAACCATGGTAAATAATAATTTTTTAGCTTTTGGTTTCTTTCTAATACTATTCTTACAATTCCAAAATCTATCAATTTAATACAAGTATATTATTTTATATTATTTTATATATTTTTTTTTCCATAATTTTGAGTAATACAATTTTTATCCTCAAATCACACTACACAATTTTCATATTATGCAAAGTTACATTCTTATTAGACTTTAATTCATAACATCAATAAAAATAAAAATAGTTTTTCTTTTTTCAATATGTAGTCTAAACTTATTTGCATCCTTTCCATTATCAAGGACAACTCTCCATTTGTGGCATCCTCTATGTGTGTTTCATTGTCTTTAATAACAATATTATTAATTGCTACAAAGTAGAATTATTATTGCTTGTAAATTGATTTTCAACTATAATAAGAAATTCTCATATAATCTATATTTTTATTTGAAGGTCAATTTCTACTTCTTTTTATTTTGATTTGGTTTTTGTTCCAAGTTATGTGGTGTAACAATTATTTCTTTAGCCCAATAGTAACATCCACAATTCTTCTATTTCTTTATTAGTTTCTTAGATTAAATAATGAAGAAAAAAAATCATAAGATTTTATGGATCTTTAATTAAATATTTATATGTAGATTTAATAAAGAAGTTGTAACAATTTCTGTTACGTTCTTGTAATCAAATACCCGCAGGCGGAGGCGCGAGAACACGGCGATGCGGGATGCGCACCTGCAGGCATCCATCGAGTGCAATGCAGCCACAACCCACTACAGCATCAATCCATCGGGCGAATTGAAGCAGGACCCATTCCGACGAATTGGGCAAAAAGTGCTGGATTTCGACGTTGACGCGACGTCGGTGGAGTGGGGGGGGGGTGGTTGAGTGTCGGCGACGTTTTAGGTGCTGCGGATGTGGGTGGTGGGTGTACAAGGTCCGCGGGGATCATGCCCTCGCTTTGGCATCGACAACGTCAGTTACAGCAGATCCCGGAGCTGGGTTTTCCTCCTGAATTGCATGGGACGCTTGCAGGGTGGGGCTAATTTCCTGTGGTTGGGGGATGCCTGGTGCTCTGATGTTTGTTGCAACAGGGTTTGGGCCGTACAGTGTGAATGCACTCCAGTTGCGCTTTTGCTGTTTGAATTCGACGGTAGAATTTTTGTTTGCAGAAGCAGGTAGATGGTTGACGTGGATTTCTCGCTGCTGTCGGCTAAGGGTGACGGCTGGAGTCCTTCGTGGAGGATTTGCAGAGGGGGTCGTAGGTGTGGTCTGTCCGTTGCTGGCGCGTAGACTGAAAATCTGGAGGTTGATTGGAGAATGTTGAAGTAGCCAGTAGAAAGTGGAGCGAAGGGGAGATTTAGGCTTTGGCTGGAGTGCGTGGATGCTGGGGTTTCATGGTATTTCCGCATTTCAGGGGGTGCACTTCATGTAAACTTGAATGTAAGAGAACTACACATTTTACTCATGCGTGCTATCAGTAGGCCTCGACGTTTGCTGATAGAGATGCAGACACAATTCATAGGGTACTGGGCATTGTACTTGCAAATTACTTCGAAATACTCGACGTTTGAACTTTCCGAATTTACATGGAAGCTAATATGGCGGTGTAGAGCGTAGATTTTTTTCGTAGGATCACAGAAAATTGGTTGTAATTGTAGAGCTCCAACTCTCTGAGCAATTTCTGGCAGATGGGATATTTTCTCTTCGACGTGGATAAGTTTCCACGAATTTGTTAACATGGGAAAGTTGAGTATTTTCTTAACATTTCTTTGCAAATGCGTCTTGTTAGTAAATCCTCAGAATCTCATGAATTTCGTTTATTTGTGCAGCGTTTCATCGAATCAAACATGGATTTTATCTACCGTACCATGAAATTGTAAGAGGTCATGAAACAAATTATTTAGTATCTAGCTAATGCGAATGGCACCGAGACTACAGATCTGGGCTTACGTTGCTATGTAGTTGGTTGAGGGCATTCGATTACAAGCTGAGTAGAAAGTACAGTGGGGAGTTCGATAATTTGAATATAGGAAAAAATGAGCTCTAAGCTGCTGGGGAGAGAGTAGTCTAGATGTTGCCTAACAAACAGTGCTGCTAAGGTTTTTCGAGATACTCTGCTCATTGAAAGAACCCCATTGAGAGTTGGAAAGGTTAAATGAGGGAACTTGGCTCGTGATGGCGAGTCTGGTTTCTTTGCAACTCATGCGCGTTGCAGGCGCGGGCGATTACCATGCTAGTGCTTGTTCCATCTCTGTAAGTATAAGGTTATGGCCAGTACTATGAGAATGTGAACTATTTGAGTCTTTGAAAATTAATCTATGCACGGACGGAGGTCATTTATGGTTATTTATTTACTTATTTGATGCCAGCAATGTTGCAGTTGAAACACTACGTCGTGTGTGCTGTGTGTTAACTGAAAGTCCCTCATTTCTATGACAGATACGATGCTCGAAAGCGGTAATTAGTAGCCGTCTCTTTCAGGGATCTGGGTTAAGAATTACGTCATATCCTGGGGTATGTTTTATGTTAATATTCATTGAAATAATAACATGTTGGAATCTATCCATCTGCTATTGCCCTTCATTGTGGTGTGCCATCATGAGGCAATGCTTCTTGCTGCCCAAAGGTTCTTTACGATGTGCCATTGACTATTGGATATAGTGGTTACAGGAGGGCAGCCTTCAGGGAGGAGGGACATTATGTTGTCCATTATGGAGTCACCTTTTAATCTCAAAGACCAATTTACGTGTGCTATCTACTCGTGCGCCAATCAGGGCCTTTTCTATTGGGTCTATTCCTGTGGAGGACATCAAGCAAATAGCTATACTGTTTGTTAATATCAGTGCTTTTATTCTTAAAAGGTAGCATCTCTCTCATGCCTATGGTTTGCAAACCCATTTGTTTGCTGTATTTTTTTGCAAACCTTTGTATTGCCAGCACAGTGATATCATTCATGTATGCTATTGATGTTAACCACTCCATGGCTGTAGTGTAGTAAGCATTAACCTTGCAATAGGACGTTTTAAGGAGGATAAAGAGTGTCTATATTAATGGTTGTGGAAGATTGTACCAATGGTACTCTAAGTGTCTTTGCGAAACCTTACGGGGGTACCTGAGAACTGTGTTAGAAATCAACAATGCAATTAAACACTGCCACTTGGTTTTGATCGTGGGTGTCCTTTTAGTTTTTTCCTCATGATCGTGGTGATGCATGGTTTGTTTCAGGACAACCGATGTTTTGCGGCTTTGTCCACCCTTGGTAGCTCAGGTTACCCCCGCCGTGGCACTTGTTGCGTACTCAATTTGGGGACTGGGACCAACGACTAGATTGTTACGTAAAAACGTCTTCGAGGTATTCTTCATGTCCTTGGAACTCCGTTTGTGGTATGAGTTTTTATGTGCTGACCTTTGACTGCATGTTGTAAATTCCTAGTCTTGAACTTCTTTGTTGTGTTTACCAATGACGGTCTTACAGATCAAATTAATGTTACTGATGCGCAGAGAAATGATAAGAAGTGGGATGAGAGCCGAACTCACAATATTTTGTCTTCTTACATGCGACCCATACTTCTGTGGATTGGAATCATTCTTATTTGCCGGTACTGTTGTAGCACGTATTTAGGCACAATATTGGTTTAATGATTAGATTTCAGTGTAATTTTGTGCATTTTATGCTCATTTAAATAGTTGATTTGCAATGTTAGCAGGACTTGGGAAGGCTCTGAAAGACCTAATTTGATCCACTACAGACCTGATTCTGCAATGACTATGGCTGCAAATGTTGTGCTTTAGTGGAACTTACTTACTCTTTTATCATCGAATTTGCTACAGAGCATTTGATCCAGTGGTATTGGCCACGGAGGCGAGTCAAGCAATTAAACAGCGCTTTGTCAACTTTATCCGTTCACTTTCAACAGTTCTGGCTTTTGCCTTCTGCACTGCCAGGTAGGGGCATCTATCTGAAAGTAGGTCTTGTCCCACTGCCTGTTATCACTTTTGGTTGGATGTTATGATGGGCTCTTCTGACTCATGTTTGCTTGTCTATTTCAGTCTAATAAAACAGGTACAAAGATTTATGATGGAAAATCAAGATGCAGAAGAATCACGTAATGTAAGACCTATTAGAATGGTTTCCGCGTCTCTCTCTTTCTTTTCCCTATTTATGCAGTGTGTTTGTATTACAAGTGGTCATAGGCAGTATCCTCCGCTCTTTTCGAACTCGTAATTGCCATTCTAGAACCTTTGCAGGATGTGGCCTTTGGATTTATTTTTGTTCATTCCGTCTGCAGGTCGGTGTGCAATTCATTGGCAACACTGTATACACTGCTGTTTGGGTTGCTGCAGTGTGCCTTTTTATGGAGTTGTTGGGATTCTCGACGCAAAAATGGATCACAGCTGGAGGATTTGGAACTGTGCTCATCACACTTGCAGGCCGTGAGGTAATCTCCAATCCTTCTTACTGAGACTTGCAACGGATCACGTATCACCTTTATTGAGTAAAAAATCTGAGAAAAGCAAAACTGACAGTCTGTGTTTGTAATTGTTTTGAATGGATGCTTAAGGGAATAGGCTAACAGTCGCCGTGAACCATCGTGAGATGATACAGCAATACATTAGAGTTATACATTTCCTTATTCTCTAAAAAGTTACTGTAGGAATTGAGATGTTTCCCGTCAGAATCAAAATTCCCTAGACCTTCATCTTACTTCTGAAGCGTGGTATGGAGAGATTTTGATGCCTGGGTAACTTACGAGGTCTGTTATCAAAGTACTGTTCCTTCGAGAATAAATTATTTCTTCATTGTGTGTATTGCAGATATTCACAAACTTCTTGTCTAGTATCATGATACATGCTACTAGACCATTTGTCGAAAATGAATGGATACAGACGAAGATCGAAGGTCAGGAGGTGTCTGGTACTGTTGAGGTTAGGCTTTGACCTCTTGTGCCTCCATCAGTATGGAGCTTATGTTGAAGTTTAATTCTTAGAAATTTGTTTGTCAAAGTGCTGAAAGGAATATAGTACTCGAAAATATTACTTCAGACGTAAGGTGCTCCGAAGTTTCTCTGTGTTAGTGATCTGACACTAACAGTGTATTTTGTACTGCGATCTACTGAGACTCGGTGTTGAAATTTGCACAGTATGTTGGTTGGTGGTCTCCGACTGTGATTAGAGGAGATGATCGTGAAGCTGTTCACATTCCAAACCACAAGTTCAGTGTAAGTGTAGTCCGTAATTTGAGTCAAAAAACTCACTGGCGTATCAAAATGCATCTGGGAATCAGCCATCTCGACGTCAGCAAGTTGGCAGTAAGACTCATGCTCATATCGGTCAAGTAGTCGATAATGTTGTTTAGCTTCGAGATGTTTTGTGTCCGACTGTTTACATGACTTACTAAGTACTAAAATGGACACAAATTATTCCAATACATCATAATATATGGAGACTTGCTTTGCAGCCTATTGTGACAGACATGCGGAAAGTTTTGGCAAAGCATCCTCAAGTAGAGCAACATCGTTTACATCGCCGTGTCTTTTTTGATCAAATCGATCCTGAGAACCAAGCTCTGATGGTTAGTATTTTCTTCTCAAGCACATCACCAATTTGTCTCGTGTTAAGTGCTAGAAATGATGCAAGTGTCATGTGTGCAGATCTTGGTGTCCTGCTTCGTGAAAACTTCTCATTTCGAAGAATACTTGCGGGTTAAGGTCAGTTACGAATTCATCCTTTTGTAGAAGGTTAAAATCAATTGTGGAAAGACGCTTATCTTATCAGCTTCCTTAGTTAAATGCATTCTAAGATTATCTTCTATTACCTCAAATTTTTGGATGTTTGTCGATTAGTGACCATCTCACGCACTTCGAGTAATTTTTTTTTGATTCTCAAGATACGTGGTGTCGTGACGCTTGCAGGAGGTAATAATCTTAGATTTGTTGAAGGTTATCGGTCATCACAGTGCACGACTTGCAACTCCAATTCGTTCAGTGCAGCGTGTTATTGATGAAAGCGAGGCAAGAAGTTCTCCATTCCGTGACATGCGAAATACCAACCAAAATCAGCGGCGGCCTTTTCTGCTTGTGAATCCTCAAGCTGCATCAAGCGATGACGACGAAGGCGACAGCGATAGTTCAGATGATGTTTTAGAGAACACATCACGGATCTCCAGGGCCACTAAAATAGTGCGAAACAAAGATAGTGCAGATAGTGGAAGCGAAAGCGAAAGTGATGAACCAGTGGAGGACCAGAGCGTTTCAAAAACCGCCAGCGACATCAAGGAGTTGAAGGCAAATGCACCCGTAATTGATGAAAATGTTAATTCTAGTTCACCACGAATTCCAGTCGCCTCACAACATAATGTCAAGGGGCCAAATTCGGATGAGTCCCACCCTCAGGAGTCGGCCTCGACAGAGGATACCGAACCTGATGTTAACGAGACTCTTATGGATAGAATCTATGCAGGGACAGAGGAAACATTGGTTAGGTCTCATACAGACACAAGCTTACCACAGAAACAGAACGTGAATGCCAAGTCTTCCGTGGAACAGGCAGTTGCTGCGAGTGCTGCTCTCGTAAGGGAACGTGTTGTAGAAATGCCTGAGGAGAAGGTGCCACATCTGTACTCCAACAATGTTGGTCTTGATGATGTTAAGGATGGAGCTGTTGTGACTACGTCGCCAACAAGGAGTGATGACCATGCCAATGACGCTAAAACCACGGCTCCTTCTGTCAAGATCAACCTCAATGTTCACAGCGACCTGACTGATGACCCATGGAGACAGCCTCCTACTTCACAATTAAATGAAAGCAACCACACGAGCAGTATAGCCAATGACGAGATATGGCCATCAGATTCTGAAGACCAACGAAGGCAGGCCTCCGCTATGGAAGTTGGTAAGAAGGGTGAATCATTAACAAACAGTGATGATCTGTGGAAACAGCCATCAACTTCTCAAATGCATCTTCCACCGAAGGTGCAACCCAGTCGAGCGACTTTGGATCCTAATGTAGTACCTGGAGTTTCCATTAAGAGTCCGAAGCATACTATTTCTTCGGACGAAGACATTACAAACCTAGATGATTTACAGACACTAGTTACTTTGGGAAAACCCAAAAGTAGTCATGAGCAACGAGAGAGTTCCAACCATGGTGTTGCGAAAGGGGGAGTGTCAAGTGATGTAAGGGACAAGGAAAGGTAATAAGTAACCTTTCCTTGGCCCTTCCCTTCTTCTGATTTGGTCTGATGCGAGGGTCTCCTTGCAATGCTCGGCGATTTGCTGCATGAACATACCGATTATGCTTGTTTTCTTGTCAGCCTCCCTTGTAGAGTTTTATTTTGTTCGAGGCTGACGTCTGTATTTCACAAGAAGTCCATTCCATTTCATCACCTTGAAATTGTATCGTTTTATCATGGCTCAAGGTGTGTGAGGACGTTGATTGTTAGGAAGCCCAAGGACTTTTGAATATACACGAATGCAAAGTTAAATATGGCTGCAAACTCCTGCGGTTTCACTAGGGGTATATGCTAGCACTACAAAAGCTTGTAGGAGAGGATGTAACCTGACTCTGTATTGATACCCTCGATCTCTGTTTCTTTCTGTTTTTCACGATATCCGTGACTGATTGACAGAAGATCAACTTTCAATCGGAAAATTTTAGAGCTAGGACTGCACAAAATCCAGTGATCTAAACCTGCGTATGTATGCAGCAACATTAAAGGAGTTGCAGTCCAGCTATCTAAAGAGTTCAACTCTTGTTTCTGTGGCGGTAGCAGTTTGTGATTAATTAGCCAAGCGAAATGGACGTTTAGTATAGAATACGGTGCAGAAATAGCAGTCTGTCTTTCCAGGTAGGATCAGCAATTATTCAGGGGCCATGAAAGAGACTTCGAAGTCGAATGGCAGGCATGTAATTGAAGCGGTAATTCAAGGTGCCGGCGATACTGGCACAAAATTTTCTTGTGTTGTCTGTCAGACAACATGGCAATTTTTTTTTTTTTTTTTTTTTTTTTTGTTTTGTTTGTTTGTTTGTTTGTTTGTACACAAATAGAGTTTACTTCTCTATTGCAGGTAAGATAAGTTACATAGCTCCAACCAGATCCTGTCAGGGGTAGAGTGATCTACTAATTACTAAGATTTAATCTACTATTTAAGTATAACAACTTCCATTCTGGCCTATTGTTCTGCCACGTCATCAATATATTGTTTGTGCACCGTTTCTGACAAAACTGTTTAATGAGTTCAATACAATGGCTCTATGCCATATCATCTATATAAGTCTTACTTCCTTCCGCTCCCTCTCGGCATCCCATATTTTAACTCATTTTAATTTGAAATCATCCAAAAGAATACCTCTCTATTTTTGGATTAATACATTAGGAACTAAGTGGTGTTTCTTCAGCAAGAAACAATTCAATTGCATGGAATATTTTCATGAGTAGAACCTCCTTGGGCCATTGGAAGAGTCTAAGGTTCCACACAAATCAATTAATTCTACCATAGTAAAGGTGTATAGCCTCCTTTTTTGGTCTTTTGTATACTGTTATTACTCGGATTTATTTGAAACCTCTTATGATGTGCCTCCCTCTAAATTTGTGGACCTTATTTTCTTGGTTCTGGGCGTGCCTCCCTTTAAGTGTAGTTTTACATAGGCTAGTAAGCCTCCCTTCAGGCTTGTAAATTTTGACTATTATAGGGATCTAAAATTCTGAAGAAAGAATGTTAGCTTTGTATTCTTCAGAGATTTGCCATAATATGGTCAATATGAAAGTATCATCACTTGAGAATAGACCTACCCATTCACCTTCACATAATTTTTTTGATAGGATTGAAGTGATTTGGTTTTTTTGATGGATGACCTTTATAATTAATGCTTTTTATTCTCCCTCCTCATTTGGCATTAATCCAAAATGATCTTTAATTTCCTCAAAATTCAAAAAATTTCCATTTGTCCATAAATCTCTACAATTTTTTAATTCCATTTTGTATAGTTCTATTGTTCTTATCTTTGAAAAGTCAGGCTCAATACATCTTATAATTGGATTATATTAGATGCTACAATTGATTTATTCCTCTTGGAAATTTGAAAGGAGATATGTTAGTTCAAGAATGATATTTTCCATGCCATCACAATCCTATTCTATACCATAGACCCTTTTTGGCTTTGATGTTTTGTTTTGGTAAAATATTCATAGTTTTGTTGCCATCTCCCTCTTATATGAGGTTGGGATGAATTGAGATGACATTGCAACATCATGTATAAATTGAAGTCTGATGGTTTTAAAGCTTTCACGATCTATTTGACTAATAAGGCTATTACTGTATCAACTTGGTTGATTAGATTAATACCTTTTTTATTTAATGGTTGATAACATTGTAACCACGCCACTTTAATTTAAGTTCTTTGTGTCATCTCTCTTACTAGGTAATTCCTTAGAAATGCTTTTATCTTTGCTATGTCCTTCTTTGCACCACCCTATAGAGAAATAAAATAAAACATTATTGATGATAAAACTAAGTTGATAATTACTCTCGTGCTAGTAGTATTAACTATTGCTGAGCATCAATGGCTTAGTTTTTATTTTTATTTTTATTTTATTATTATAAAAAAAATAATTTTTTCATATTTAATAATAGTCTAAATGGTGCTCCTAGTAGCTTGGTTACTTCATTGTCTTTTGCCCATGAAATATCCAATGCACTAGTCTATTGTGGTCAAATATGAATAATGTTATTCTTCCAATGTTCACTTGATTTATTCTAATTTATAATCAAGTATGATCCTAAATAAAAGATTTCAAGTATATAAATGATATGTTGAATATATATATATATATATATATATATATTTTTGTAATAGATTTAAAGATATATCATTAGCATGTTGTGCCATGATTTATTGTTGATTAATAATGGATAATTATATATCTTTTGTAAGCTCAATATTAACTTCCTTCATCACCACTGTATTGAGTACTTCCACCACCATGAAGAATAGATACAAGGCAAGTGAACAACCTTACTTCATTCTTCTTTCAATCTTAAAAGAATAAGAAATGGACCCATTAATTTTCACACATGCTTTTGTATCAATGAATAAAAATTTAATCATATGAATAAATTCTCTAGGTAAATCCATTGCTTCTATTGTATATAATAGAAACTCTCATCCTACCATTCATATTTTTTTGAGAAGTCAAGTTTAAAAAAAAAGATTAATTAACTTGATTTCTTTATCTATGCCATCATTTCATGTATCAATAATAGGTTATCTACTATATATCTATTAGATAAAAAGGCTGATTGATCTATACTTATAATATTCATAAGTACTAATTGGAGTCAAAGTTACATAGTCTTGGTATAAATTTTATAAACCACATTGAATAAAGTTATAGGTCTTTAGTTTGATAGATCATGCATTATGCCTCTTTTATGTAGTAATGCAATTAATCTTTGGATCATTCTTAGAAGGAATTATTTTTTTTACATATTTTTATTCTAACATAATTAAGATTTTTAGTTCTAAGATATTCTAGAATTATTTATAGAATTTTAGGATTATCTCATTTAGACTTGGTGATTTTCCTCTATTCAAATCTTTCATAACCATTGTGAGTTTGGCTAGAAAGAGGGACTTACTTAATCTTGTTTTCTCCTATGTCTTTAATCTATTATAAATGCCTAATAAAACTTGAACTTCAGCCCTTTTTGCTACAATTAAGGCTAAGAAAGCTCCATAGAGCTTGTTGTAAAATTGTTGGCATATGTAGGTCAATATGTCCACATGATTGTGGCACTATCTACTTTCATCCACTAATTTTGTTATGCTTGAGGTTTTTGACCTTTCATTGTAAGCCTAAAAATATTTCTATGTATCCTAGTTGGAGGCTTTCTGCCATTTCATCGTAGTTTGGATATCTTGATTTGTAATTATTTTTTTTCAACTTACTAGACTTAGTCTATATAATAAGCAAGTTTTGCTCAGCAAGTTGTATTGCTAAAGCTATCATGTAGGTCAGCAACAACTTTGCCTATCTGAATATATATATAGTATCTTTGTTCTTATTTTCTTTTAATGTACATTGCATACTAAAGGTGTAATAAAATCTTACACATTTCCAAAGCTTATTAAACAACAAGAAAGATTGATTTGCACTCCATATTGCTTGCACATATTGTTCTACCTCTAGCTCTAATAAGTATGTCAAATTCATAATCTATATTGATTTCTTCTTGTCTTTGGATTGTAGCTTTATTTGTCACCAAATTATTAAGTGATCCAAGTAAAAATTATCTCCATGAATCATATAGTCTACATTGATTGTAGTCATCTTTGGAATTATAAAGACATAAGTTTCATATAATTTTACCAATTTTTGTAATCTATCTCATTACTTGTTGTTCCAATTGAAGTAGAGTATGTATAAAGCCAAAAAGGTATTTGTCACTTACAATACAGCTATCAATGAATTGAATAGTCTTTTTTCTACCTCAAATATCTTAGAGTCTTAGATATTTTTTACAAAATTTTAATAACTTATAAGAATCTATTTATAATCTATGACAAGTGTGTCTAATAATTTATACCACAATTTGGTGCTCTTCCATATAATATGTGGGATATATATATATATATATATTCAAAATCAGAATGTCATTTCTATCATCTCTATGAATACAAATCTACTAGGCCATTCTCAAATAGGCATGCTTTGTTGACTTTACAAGATATATCATGCTTGATAAAATCCACATGTCTACTTTGCGACTACATTTAGCATCATCATTGATACTATGAATGTAAGCTATATGACCACCTAGCCAAAGAAGCTTGCCCTAAATCATAATTAATTTCTAATCATATTTAATTTAGCACATTGTAATTTAATTTTTTATATACATAAATTTTTAATTTTGAATAGATACCTTTGAAAATAGTTATAAACTATTCTAATTTTCACCAAGTTATTTAGTCCTTACACATTTATGTTAAGACTATAATTTTCATATTTTGTTATGGAAAAAAGTAAATATTGACTATCCATCTTGTTGTACTAAGTCTCTTTTGTCTCAAGTCATTAGTATCAATCTAATCTTGGTATTATCTTATGTGGTTCTCTATTTAGATCATATCAATCTATCTCTCAAGTCGAGCAAAGAAATCCATGACTTGAACATAAACCTTCATATCTTTTTGAGGCAATACAAATAGAGATAGCCTTATATTGATTTCTCTTCTCATATTCCCTAGTTGGGATCTATTGACTATGTTTTGAATGTGGTTCAAGGTGGCCTTAGAAGATTTCCTATTTTTTCTTGTCTTTGTTTCTATTCTTTTTTGGCCAATCAAAGACTGGCATTTTAAAACTAGATGTATTATTGTTAGATAGTACTGGCACCTAATA